TAGACACCCTTATATACACTGGTGTTGTTTCTGGCATCAGTACTGATCTGTAATAATTATAAATTTCTTCACCTWGATTCATACATTGTTTTTAACCTTGTTAAAACTCAGGTGACAACACTGAACTTCTWCAACTCACTGAAGGAAACAGAGAACCTCTGAATGAGGACATTAGAGCAGCCCAGTGCTGGTCCTGATGAGAGAGTGTCTGTTTCCTGAGCTGTTGAACAACATTGTCCCTTCATGTTCCTCAGGTTATCAGGAGGGCTCAGGGCCTGGACAGGGTTCTGGCTCGTTTGGACCCACAGCGTGCCAGTCAACACTTTGCAGCCATCAAACGCTGGAAAGCAAAAAGAGAGCTGGGGTGTCCTCGGAGAGGTCTTTATCAAAGTGTCTCTTTTATTTATCAGTTGTTTGTATTTGCTGCTAACATCAGTGTCTGTGTGTTGGTTTGTGTCAGGAGCCTTCTTACTGTTTTCCCAGAAGAAGCTGGCAAAACTAAGAGAAACCATTCAAGGAACAGATCCCACCTCGAACCGAGACCTTGCTGTGTTGGAGGTAATGATGCACAGTAGACTGCCTCKGTATTTATAATCTGATGGAGAGTGTTAACCCAAGCTGTCCTTTAAACTCTGCTCTCCTCAGCTGGTGAAACAGTGGCACGCTCTGGATGAGGCCGGCAGAGCCAAATACTGCAGGAAGTCCTGCCGCTGCCCAGAGCCCACGCTGGGTTTGTTCAGGCCTGACGTCTGCTTTGGATCTGTTTCTGAAAACTTCCACCACATCACAGAGAAATACCTCCAGAACAAGTCCAGTGAGAGTCAGGCCAGCGTGGACTCCCACAGGTACACAATCTGTGTGTGTTTGTGTGTACTTGTTTTTGTTATCTTTTTAGGAGTGTTTCTGGTATACACACCTACCTTGTAAAGACTGGTTCTAATACGGTGGAATTCCATTTTTGGGTTGGGGGTTGGGTTTAGGACCAAGGTGTGAATTGAGTTTAGGTTAGGGTTAGGATCAGTGGTCAGGGTTAGGCTGTAGAAACAAATGGAAGTCAATGAACGATCCTAGGAAGCATAGAAACTTGTATGTGTGTGTGTGTGTAATGCATCTTGATGGGCATGGTGGGTGGTTCCATTGGGAAGACAGGCTGCCCTCCTTGGACTAGCTAAAAGCTAGTACAAGCTGAGCATAACACTCAGCTACTGCCACATCAAATTTTAGCTTCAATCTGTAAAACTCACAGTCGCAGCGAATTAGAGTTTAAAAGTTAATGAGTTGCTGTGCATCTAGGGTTGGGTATTGAAAGGGTTTAATTCGATACTGGTGCTAAATCGATACTTTAAACACGGTACCGGTTCCTAAACAGTATTTAAATYGGTAATGACTATTTCTGAGGCAAAGTCAAACTTGAAATTGACCAGCATATTAACTTAAAACCATTAATAATTTGTCTTTGCACCAAATATTCTTAAAGTGCATCTTACTGCCCAGTATTCTTAAACAAAAGCAGCTCTCTCTCCAGGAGTAAATTTGCTGTCAGTCAATCCAAGAGTTAATCCACGGTCAGAATTCTGCTGACGTTAAAATCATAGCTGCTGTACTCGCTTCTACCCGAACCACCAGAGAGGAGGTTCTGAGACARCACAGCTGTGGAGCGAGTTTGGAGAGAYRCATTGGGCTGAGACCGAGCCRAGTCGAACTGCATACAAGAGCRTMCATGGAGATTGTGTGCCGAGGCTGTCATTGTTAACAGTGAACACCAGAGGGTGCAAATTAACAGCTTTTTTTGAGRCACCAARGTTAGAGTTGTGTTTGGGTCTGTGTACTACCATTGATGTTCRCCCGGTGCCATACTGGAACCCAGTTTTGGTACCCAACCCTATGTGCATCCAGTGATTACTGTCTGTAAGTTCAGTTACAATTAGTTCACTCATTCATGAAATATTTTGGTAGAAGACAGACGTGCAGTGATTTTGTCCACCTTCACCTATTAGCAGTGGGTGATAATGGTCTWAGGACCCTCATAATTATTTTAATTTGTAACAAGCTTTTCATTAGAAAAACTCTCAAAGTGCTGAAATTGAACTAGTTCTCTGACTGCTTCAGTAACAATGTGGGAAAGGTGAACCAGCACATTAGCTAACTCTGCCACTCTGGGCTTTTGATCAAGGCTTTAAACTCCTCTAGCTCCTCCCCCTGCACCACATGTGGGCTGCTTCATTGTTAGTGGTYGCAGCGTAAAACGTAATGTTATGCATATAACTACTGTTCCCTGAAGGAAAGGAAAGAGGTACAACATCATGTATGGGAAACCACGCCCCTGCGTGTCCTGGCTGAAGCCACCTCTAATCAYGCCTTTAGGCAGGTGACATGATGACGACAGATGTCAGGCTCCGCCTGCACATACTGTCACCATGTGAAAACTGAATACAGGAGGGATTCACAGACAGAGCATGGAGATCCCCGACCCGTTTAACAGTTGTTAGTGCTAAAAGCAACACAACTTTATATGAAATAAACTTCAAATCCACAGACTCCAAGGGCTCAAAAGGGGGGTCACAGAGAGCCTCGAGCACCACAGTAAGATCCCAAGTGGGGATACTGGGTTTAATAACAGGCCGCARCCTACGGACCCCCTTCAGAAAACGCACTGCTAGAGGATGAGCACCTGGCGTAACTCCATCAAAGCCCACATGGCAAGCAGAGATAGCTGCCAAGTAGACTTTAATTGTGGAAAAAGCCAGACCTTTCTCCAGCAGCTCCTGAAGGAATGTTAAAACATCCACCATGGAGCACTGGAAYGGGACAATGTGCCTGACCTCACACCACTGCTCGAAAGCATGCCACTTGTAGGTATATAGACCTCCAGTGGAGGGCGCTCTCGCGTTCTGGATAGCTGCCACCACTGCCGGGGGAAGGCCCCTGGCTARTAAGCAGGACCTTTCAGCAGGTAGGCGTGCAGCCTCCACAACTCTGGGTGTGGGTGAAATATCTCCCCCCTGCCTGAGAGAGGAGATCTTGGCGGAGGGGAAGTTGCCAGGGCTGAGCAGCCAGCAGGCTGATTATCTCGGCGTGACTTCGCTGGCCAATGGGGTGCCACCAGAATCAGAGACAGACCCTGTCT